GAGGTCGCCGCCAGCCTCCGAGGCCGGCGGCGCGTTCCACACGATGTGGGAGGCGTCGGTGCTGGGCTCGCCGTCTCGGCCCACCCGGAGAGACTCGGCCTCCCACGCCTCCGACCTCATCGCAAGCGCGAACTCCTCCTCGAGTTCCTTCCCCGCGAGCTGGACTTGGTCCATGATAAAGGAGATGGTCCCGTCGCCCCCGGAGATGATGATCGTCCCGCGGTACGAGGACGGCTGCCCGTCCCCATTGCCCATCGGGGGCGCCTCCACCGTCGAGGCGTGCTTCGACATGGTGATTTTTTCAGGGTGATAAATCACACCCTCTTCTTTGATCCGCTGACGTAGCGAAGAGGGCTTCTCAAATAACTCCTTGGTTAACCATATGACATGATGCGAACCAAGCTCCGTGAGCAAGGATCGGTACACCATCGAGGAGGTGCTTTTTTCACCAGACTCGCCGTTGACAAAGACAAGGACGTGCTGTAGGGAGTACGATACTGGCGAGGCAGCGCTCATGTACTCGAGCATACGTTCAATAACGTCTTGCGAACGGGAGGTTTTTATTACCCTTTCGATCTCATTATTTATACACGTGCTTTGCATCGGATCGAGGTGAAAATGTCTATCCAAATTGTCTTCCATCCCCAAAGGAAAGCCTTCTTGGCTTTTCGAAACCCATGAATAATTTTGAGGTGATCTATGAACCATGGGATGGGCGTAGCTTCCCAAGGGTATTTCTAAATCTTTATAGGCCACCCCATTATTCATAGGGAATCCAATATTAGACATAAGAATGTTGCTATCACTGGACGACAGCTAAGGAAGTTTTAATAAGAAAATATTAATGCCGTTTGGCTTTCCACAATGACTAAACCTATTTTAAACACCGAAAACCCGAGTTATGCCTTTTCCACTTAACCCCAAGCCTGATGTTCGGTCGTAGCTTCACTTTCAGAGTCAGTTGAGGTGCTGGCTTTTTTTTATTGGAGATTAATCTTCACCATAGATCATCACCACGCTAACGAAATGAGAAAGAGAGAGAGAGAGAGAGAGAGAGGAGGAGAGAGACGAGGTAGGAAGGGCGGAGGACGAAGGGAAAGGGG